GGGGCATTTCCAGCAGATCTAGAGGTGTTATTATTCCCCTTTATTCAGCACTGGTGAGGCCACATCTGGAGTACTGCATCCAGTTCTGGGCTCCCCACTATAGAAAGGATGTGGACACACTGGCAAGGGTCCAGCGGAGGGTAACCGAAACTGTAGCACTTGACCTACAAGGAGAGGCTGAGGGATTGGGCTTATTTAGTCTGCAGAAGAGAAGAGTGAGGGGAAATTTGATAGCAGCCTTCAACTTCCTGAAGGGAGGTTCCAAAGAGGATGGAGAGAGGCTGTTCTCAGTAGTGACGGATGGCAGAACCAGGGAGCAATGGTCTCAAGTTACAGTGGGGAAAGTCTAGGTTGGATCTTAGGAAAAACTATTTCACTTGGAGGGTGGTGAAGCACTGGAATGGATTCCCTAGGGAGGTGGTGGAATCTCCATCCTTAGAGGTTTTTAACACCCGGCTTGACACAATGACTTTCTGAGGTCTTTTCCAGCCATAGGATTCTATAATTCTATGAACTGTAAACAGGGGATCAACATACAATACCTGTGCTTCAAATAGATTTCCACAAGGATTGGTGTTTGACCCCATACTATTTAACATTTTTATTGATGACCCAAAACAAAACAGTCACTGCTAAAGTTTACTCAAAAATTGAGAAGTAGTAAATAATTAAGAGGACAGGGCACAGATACAGATCAATGTGGATCACTTGGTATGCTGGGCATATAACCAATATGTATTTTCATATGATTTAATGTGTATGTAAACACATGTAGGGACAAAGTATGTAGGACATATTTACACAATAAGGGATTATCTTGGAAAGCAGAGACTCTGAAAAAGTCTGAGGTCATGCTGATAAACAACTGAACAGAAGCTCCCAACAGGATGCTATGATCAAAAGAACTAATGCAATTGAATGAATGCATGAACAGGAAAATTCTAGAACAAGTGGAGAGGTTATTTAACCTCTCTATTTGGCACTGATGTGACTGCTGCTGGAATACTGTCTACAGTTCTGGCGTTCAGAATTCACGAGGTTTCAGAGAAGAGCCATGAGAAAGATTGAAGGATTAGAAAACCTGCCTCATAGTGAAAGACTCAAAAATCTCAATCTATAGCTTAATAGGTGAACTGATAATCATTTATTAAGATCTGAGTGAGGAACAGATATTTAATAATGTGTTCTCCATTCTAGCAGACAGAATTATAACATGAGCCAATGCCTAGACATTCAGGTTAGGCAAATTCTGATTGGAAATAAGGTGTGGGTTGTTTTTCTTTTTTTTTTTTTTTTTTAATCATGAAGGTAATTAACAACTGGAATAACTTAAAAGTAACAGAGAGGTAGCCGTGTTAGCCTGATCATGGTAAAACAAAAAAAGCAGTCATGTAGCACTTTAAAGACTAACAAGATGGTTTATTAGGTAATGAGCTTTTGTGGGGCACTGCTTTAGATCTTATTCTGAAAGTACTTATAGAAGTACAACCTACAGTTTAAACTTAAACAACAAATAGTCTAGTAGCACCTTTAAACTAACAAAACATATAGATGATATCATGAACTTTCATGCAACTGAAGAAGTGGGTTTTGCCCACAAAAGCTCATACCACCATCTACATGTTCTGTTAGCTTGTTAAAGTGCTACTAGACTATTTGTTGTTATTTAAGTTTAAACTGTAGGTTATACTTCTAAAAACCAGGACTCTGGTCTGGCAGGACTTCAGATGTTCCAGGATCAGTGTTCCGGCACAAGGCAGAAGGTGGGCAGGTCTGGAACCCAGTACAATGCAGGGGTGGGACAGGAACCTGGCACGCAACCCAGCTGGGCTGCCTGGGGGTCCAGGATCTGGGAAGCTGCCATGTTACTGGGGAATGGGGGGAGGGCAACCAGTAGCTGGGAAACCCAGTGTGCAACCTCACTCGGAAGCCTAGTGGGACAACAGGACAGGCAGCGGGGCCCAGAGCAGGAGGACCAGAAATGACCTCCTTTGGTCTAGCAAAATCCCTCATCTGGATCCAATCAGGTCCAGCGGGTGTTGGACCAGGGAGATCCAACCTATAGTTATATAGTTATCATCTGCCTCCTCCTTCTAACATTACATTATTTCTAATCTGAAGGTTTGATAGATGGGTATTAAAATGTGATTCCTTTTTCTAATTCTGTATGCACTTTATTGTTTTAGCTTCCTCTGAAGAAAATGAAGTGAACAGTAACTGTAAAAACAAGGCAGGAATTTGGGATTTACCTTTGTGCCTCATTGCACTGAGAGTATTTTCCATCTCCTGCTTTAAGAAAAGAAACCCTAACACCAAGAAGTTTAGAGTCAAAGTTCACTTTTTCTGAGTAAATAGGGCAGATTGCCCACCATTTTAATGTTATGGCTCCACCTTCTGTTGTCTAGTAGGCAGCAGTGAACACTGATGTAACTTTGAGATTAATTAATGCAAGATCTCTTTTGGCTCACTGATGAATCTATAGCTTTTAGATTTCGAATCCAAAGGAACAAAATCCTTTAAGGCCTTTAACCTTAACAGGAGCTACTATTTCCGGTGACACAAAAATACTGTGGCTCCTTAGCAGCAGTTGAATACAACATTCCCTGTGCTCAGATGACCTTGTTGATGCTAATGCATAAATAAGAGTGTGTTGGCATGAGAAAGAGCTATTATGGAAGTTGAAGCTGCTGTTGTGAAACAAAATCTGCAATGTTTATTTCAACTCCGAGAGAGGGGGAGGGGGGAAAGACAAAAGTTCACCAAATGGAAGAACAAAATCTGAATCATGCTATTTTGAAAAGCAGCGTGCTATCTGGTTACAGTGCCTCCACTTACTTTAAATTGTGATGGTACTGAACAGAAAGATGCTATCTAAAGTAGCCAGGCCCTACACTTCATAGGTGTCACAGCCTAATAATTGCAAGAAAAGCTTTAAATAGATCTGCATGTGTCTGAGTACCAGCTATTGAGAGTCTACTGAAATACCAATGGCAAATCAAATTCTTTATGATTGGGACAGTTATGATAAAGATTTATGGGCAACACAGCTAGAGTATGTAGGTGGTCCTCAAAAATCCCACTCAGAAAAGCATTAAATAAGATACTGTACTGTAATAACTGTATTTTGTTTTATAACCAGCAGGCCATGGTCTGTAATCTCATTTCCATTTCTTTAGAAGGTTTTAGGAATAGAAGGTTTCAAAAGCAGTTTTATTTGAATTGCCTCAATTTAGAATAAAAAAAAATCTTGAATTAGAGATGGCATGCAAATTTTTAGTAAGAAAAGAAACTCCCCATAAAAAATTGTCTATTTCATTAACAGTCTATTTCCCTCCCACAATTAACCTGTGGAAATGGAAGATCATTTGGCAAATAGTGTGGTTTGCTATATAAGGTTCTCAAGCCTCTGAGAAGACAGGTACTACAAGAATATGTGATGGTTTTACTGTTTCCCCTCCAGGGATATTTCTGCTGGTTTTTCAAAGGATGATACTGTAGATCAGCGGTGGGCAACCTGGGGCCACTAGGACTTCACTTGCATTCTGTGGGCCCCTTTTGCCCTCCCCTTCCACGTGCCTCTTGCACACTGGAGCACCAGAGCCCTGTACTTCCTAATCCTCTCCCTCCTTTCCAGCAATTTAGGAGCACCGTAAATCTGTTGATTTGTACTCCATTCCCACTCCTCCTTTTTCCTCCCAGAATTGGAATGCCTGGAATCAGCAGTTCACAACTGATCAAGTTCTTGGAGGGATTTGTGATTAGTGGTGCTCCAAAAGTACTGAGAGGGAGGAGGAAAGGTAGAAAATGTGCGGCTCCAGTACCCTAGTGCACAAGAGGTGCATGGGGGAGGAGGTCAGACAGGGAGTGAGCAGTCCCGCAGGTGGATCCTCAATGGGCCACAGGTTGCCCACCACTGGTAATCAAGTGGCTCACTGAGATGAAGAAGGGTCACTCACATGGCCCACTCACTATTCTCGGTTGCCAATCGCTGCTGTAGATCATAACTGCCCCCAGTTCTGCCTCCCAAAAGTGATACCTACAACACTGGAGTACCTCAATTGCACAGAGAGATTTCTGCTCTCCGAAGGAAGAAATGTGCTGCAATCCATAATCCGCTTTCTGTACTTATCAAATAGATTTTGCCTGTAGTCAAGTTTCTTTGATATATTTAATGACAAAGAGGAGAAGGTAATATGACACAAAGATTTTTTTAATATTTAAATAAAAGTACACAAATGTCTAAAGAATACTTTAAAAAGTGTAAAACTGCAAGTACTGTCTGGTATAAACAGATTACTGTACTTAACTATTTGTATCTCTTTTAATTATTCTGAAGAGTTATGAGCAATAGCTCTCACTCACTATTTGCTTTCTGTTGATCCTGAAGAGAAAAAACAGTTCTCTTATCAAAGAAGGCAAGCAGAAGACAGATTAGAGAGAAGGAAAACCAGCTAGCTAGATATCTCTGGCAAGACAGAGAAGAAATGTTTTGAAGTGTGAAAAATGGATTTGGTATAAGAGTTGCATATTTTTTCCACTCTCACCAATGTGAAAGTAATTTTTCATTTGAAACACCAGAATTTCTTTAATCTGCTTTGACAAAACCAATTACATTTAAACTGTCATTTTCCAGCTCAGATGAAAGAGGGATATCAAGAAACACTTTGAAGTTGTCATTGTGCCTTTCTGGAATGAAGGTTTCCACACCAAAACAAAAAAACAAAAACCACACACCACAACCAAACCTTCAGAATGAAAGATTTTGAGAAGACATTAGGGTAGTGATCAGTTCACTTTGAAGTTTTAAAAGTCCAAACCAGCTTAATAGAGTTTAGCATCTCCTCTTAAATTTCATGGCTTGAGGCTTCTCTTCCCTATATATGGTAGAAGTCAGCAACAATGTTTATATTTACAGTAGCAATTTTTATGTGCTATATACACTGCAGCTGAACCCGGTGCTACATTTAAGTGTATTAAGTCCAATACCTAGGTACGCTTACATTTAGGTGGTCTTGTCTTTGATTCTTTCTGATTTTTTCTAAAATTGCAAGGTTCTCTTTTTCAATGCCTTCATCCTCAGATTTCTTTCCATCAATAGGTTCTTCCTCCTTCATGTCATAGTGATCTAGGTCTTCAATGTCCTACAAGATGGAGGAAAATTCACTGAAACATATGAACTGTAAATTCCAGTTAGCTCAAAAGATTGTTCTCCATGCTGGGCCTTGAAAGCATAGACAGTGTATTGTGAAGAGTACCAAATTAGTCATCTTTTAATGCTACTTTTATTTTGCCTAGACTTCGCTATCACCATTAATAAGACATTCTCTTGTAATTTAGGGAGGCTGTGTGATTGTACACACGCTCCAGACTCATCTACGCTTCTGCTGGCAAACTCTGGTGGCAAACAGGCAACTTTCCAGGAAGAGGGGTTTGACAGGTTCAATCACAGGAGTCCTCTTAGGGTTGTCACCTAGCATGCTAATCGTGCCACAGAGTCCACCTATTTGCCCTTTGTATACCCTGCCACCTATCCTGCTGGGCCAGAAACTCTGGTCTTCCCTGGCTAAGGCACAGAGTTGGAATAGCATCCCCTCAGCAGTGTAGCACAAAGACATTGAGAACAGCTCAGCTCTAGGGCCTTGACAGTTTCCAGGAACACAACTCTCAAAAGGAACTAAAATCCCAAATTAAACTGCCTTACTCTATATAAAAGTTTTACAGAGAAAGTGCATAAGTTCACCCTCTTTATCAATGAGAGATATGTACTGTGGCTGCTCCCCCATCCAGGTAACAATTATTTACATTGTTCGTGAAAATAAACAAAAGTATAAAAAATGAGATTGCAAATGAAAAACAGACAGATCAAAGTAAGTTGCTACATAAACAAAGCATACCAGCTAATTCTAATACACCGAGAAAGATCTTTACAGATTGTAATTCCCACCCTAGTCCTTATCTCAGATGCAATTCTTCATAAGCCAGAGTTGATCTTTCTCTGGCTTGGGTCTAACTGTACTTCTGTATCCTTAGGTGGGAAGGCAGTTTCAAAAGCCAGCTGAAAACAAAAGCCTGCTTTCCATTTCTTAAATAGACTTTCACTAGGGATGGAATCCTTTGTTAACACTCCTCAACCCCATGGAAAAATACCAGATTCAAGATGGATTCCAGCACCAGATGGCATGGTCACATGTCTTTGTAGGACCAAACACAGTTTGGGCATACAGGAAAAATAAAGCCATTCACCAGATGGTTGGTTTAAGTACCAAACCATTATGTTTCAAGAGTATCGCTATTTAGCACAATTAGAATTATAAACAGATTTATACTTCATATCTCTAACTTCACATACAAGAATGATACATGCACAGAAATAGAATATACACATTCAGTAGATTATAACTGATTTTTCAAGTCATATGATTCATTTTGCCTAAAGCATCTTTGAGTTATGTATATTCGTTTTCGTAAAGCAGTGGGTGAACATGACAGGGAGGTTGCAGTTTACCAGTTCAATGACACAGGTGGAAAAACAGCGGTCTAGAAAACTTCTGAAGGGAGGAGAGGGAACTTGACCAGAGAAGCTGGTAATGAACCACTCCCGGAGTATGCCTTACAGAATCTTAAATGCAACTTTCCATTCCACAGTAGAAACTCAGAAGTTACACAACTTCTGCTAACCCACATTTGATGCTTGCCAAACACAAAAGAGAAAAAACAAATTGTATGTGGTTTACTATGTGATGCTTTCATCTGAAGAAGGCCGGAGGGATCAGGTGCACTACATGGGCATGAAAGAAACAAAAGGAAACGTGTGGCATGGTTGAAGACACTAGACTATAACACAGATCTGGGTTCAAACTTCAATCTCTGTGCCTTTAAAAACTGGGGATACTACTTCACTGCCTCACAAACTGTTGTGAGGCTAAAATAATTATTTTGTAAGTTGCTGAAGTACTATGATTAGGAGAGCGGTGCAAATACCTAGATAGATAAGAGTTCATAAGTTACTAAAAAGCAGGATTTCCTATAGAGTCTTTATCCAAGTTTCCCCTTCCTGACACAGTTTTGCTTCATTTGTTCCCCCCAGATGACAACCTCCTTGCTAAAAGTCTGAATTTCAGTAATGCTGCAAGTATACAGGATGTAACATATTATGGAATCCTTCAGTATGAAATGAAGCATTAGTACCCAAGAGTACAGACTGGAAAAATACATCAAGTACTGGGAACCCCTAAAGTACAGGTGTACCTTCCTAAATGGGGACACTTGTCCAGCAACATCCATGGTCCAGCAGGCCTACAGATGTTTCTGGACCACAGAGCCCAGGAACAGGGAGGTTTGGTAGGGGGGTAAAGCATGGTAGGAGGGGCCAGTGAAATCAGCTGGAAGCACTGTGTCAGCATGAGGGGTAAGCAGCATGACAGGGAGTTATGGCCTCAGTGGACAAGGAGCTCCAGCCTGCCAGCAGCCATGGAGCTCCTGCCACTGCCAGGGAGCTTCAGGCTCAGCAGCAGTCAGGGAACTCTGGCCCTGACCCTAGTTGCAGAGCTCTGGCCCTGGCAGCAACTAGAGCAGCAGCCAGGGTGTGCCAGCCCCACCCCCGTTCTGGCCCCAGTGGCCAGGGAGCTCCAGCCCCACTGCAGTCAGGGCACTCTGGCCTCAGCCGCAAAGCAGTTGGCTGTGGTGCTCCAGCCTAACAGGAGCCAGGGAGCTCTGGTTATAGCACTCCAGCAGTGGGACCAGTGGCAGTCAGAGAGCCCCAGCGCAGCTGGAGCAGCAGCGGGGCTGGGCTAGAGACCTAGTCCAAGGACAGCATGGATCATGAGGGCAGGGACCTTTGGTCTGGTAAATCCCCTTATTCAGGACCAGTCAGGTCCTGAGGGTGCCAGACCAGAGAAGTCCAACCTGTAGTAAGAGATGATCTCAAAATTAAGAAAAGTTTGAGAAGGGTCTTTGTTTCCTTAGTGCATTTGATAGACCTTTGTATGCATTTCCCATTTGTGAGATTCTTTCAGATGAGAGGAGCATTTTAAAAAGGAAATAATCATAAGCAGAGCTTCTGATATAATCCCCAAATTATATGGTTTTAAAAATTGGACTAGATTTCAAATGGATTGTGTTCAACATTCATTTGTCTTCATTGTCTAGACGCAATGTAACGCTTCCCTGAAGATAGCCCTTTTGTCCAGTTTCATTTATACAGAAATAGGGGATTGGTTGAAAGCAAGTTCTAAGACTTCTAGAAATTTGCCAACCCTGCTTAGTCTGCACTATATAGTAGCTGACCACAGCGGACTCCTTTAAAGTAATTCCATTTTACAAGGTACATATATATATTTTTGAAAAAGTTGTATTAGTTCTCTATTCCAAAACTAATTTCCTTTCTTGTCTTTAATATCCTTTTTATGAAAGTATTTTAAGCCTGAGCAATTCTTTTATAATAAAACTTCTATACTAGTTTAAAAACAGGCATTTTTTTCCTCTTTAAGTCATTCTAGCAAGTTATTAAACTAATTTTAAGTGGAATTTGCATATAGAAAGGAGCTTATTAAAATAAGTATCATGTTGCTATACAATCATATTACCCACTTAAAGTTTAGTCTCTGCTGTTTCACACTTTGCTCCATTTCTCCAATGTATTTGGAGGTAAGGTTTTATTAAAAAGGTTCAGCTGATTTATAAGAATTAGTGAATAAATTTGCTCTGAATACCAAGCCTCAGCTTCCAAAACTTTTTAAACAAACGATGTCAAGTTTGTAAACTAGTTGAAATAAGGCTTTACAATGCAAGTTTGCTAATATGGCACAAGCTTTTCATATATTGTTGGAGTAAACAACAAACAGACATCCATGTGTGACGTAGTGGGGGTACCTGGCTGGTTTCTATGCTGCTGGCTCTGGGGTAACCCCCACTGGCTGCCGTGGGTACCACGACCCAGCAAAACAGGATGAGTCACTATGCAAACCAGTATGGCCAGACACCCCCCATGGAGAGGAACAAAGGGAGGTGGAATGCTGCCCTGGCTGGGGGGCAGGACTGGAAGAGGGTTAGTTAGTTGCTGGCTGGGAGCATGGAGGAGACAGCCTAGGGAAAGGGGCTGGAGTTTAGGGGCCCAGTCTCCCCCATCTCAAGGGGGCCTGAGGCATCCTAGCCCAGCTCTGTGACCAGACTACATCTGTGCTGTGCTGTATCCTGGAGAGGCAATAAACTTCCTCTATTCCACCAGCTGGTGCAGTCTGTTTGTGCCATTTCGGGGTGCAGGAGACGGGGGACCCCCAACGCGCCGTTACACCATGTACATCCAACTGCCTCATTCTCAGCAAAATACTTTGAGAAACTATATTTTTGTGGATGAAGGGTTATGTGAAAACTGCAGATAAAGCTTCTAACGTTTTGGTTAACATTCATACTGTGGCACCATTTTTTGTTAGGAACATCTGCATTTTGTTTACATTATCATTCAAGGTAAGGATCTTGAACACAAATCTCAGTTTTACAATATAACATTCACATACTTCACCCATATCTTCCTCCTCCTCCTCCTCTGATGTTACTTCTTCAGTTGTTCCATTCTGCAATACAAATTAGCAGCACTGTTAATAAATCACAGTTAACTCATGCAATTAGCTAAAAAATTGTGATTATTCACAGCTTGAATCATATTGTTAAACAATAAAACGCCAATTAATGTTTTTGGAATATTTTTTCCATTTCAAATATACTGACTTCATTTACAACACAGAATTCAAAATGTACAGTGTTCACTTTATATTAGAAAATGATAAATAAATAGTATTTTCCAATTCACCTCATTTAAGCATTGTGGTGCAATCTCTTAATTGTGAAAAGTGCAATTGTAGAAATTTGTTACACAACTGCACCCACTGCACACAAAAAAAGTAAAACTTAAAAGCCTACAAGTCCACTCAGTTCTACTTCTTGTTCAACCAATCACTAAAAGGAACTTCCTTTAAAAAACAGAAAATAATTCAGCCTGCTTCTTATTTACCAGAAAAACTTAAACAACAAATAGTCTGGTAGCACTTTAAAAACTAACAAAACATGTAGATGGTATCATGAGCTTTCGTGTGCACAGCCCACTTCTTCCGATGACTGGAGTGTTGGAAGTCCAGAACCAAGAATAAATAAGGGAAGGGAGGGGAGGGAAAGGGAGAAAAAAAAATTAGGGGGGGGGGGGGAAATCTGTGTAGAATCTGGTGTTAGTACTCTTCCTTTCCTAGTGCAAACTAATGGTTCTTTATCAGCCTCTTAAATATTTAGTCTTTGAGGTGCTAACAGACTATCTGTTGTTTAAGTTTTTCCTGTTACAGACTGGCTCGGCTATCCCTTTGAAACTTATCTACCCAATGTCCTCTTTCTCCCCATTCCCACCACTCCTCCCTCTTTCCCCTATTTATTCTTGGTTCTGGACTTCCAACACTCCAGTCATCTGAAGAAGTGGGCTGTGCCCACGAAAGCTCATGATACCATCTACATGTTTTGTTAGTCTTTAAAGTGCTACCAGACTATTTGTTGTTTTTTAAGTTTTTCTTATTTAAAATGTCACTTGAAAGTGAGAACAGGCACTTTTGTAACTGGCATTACAAGGTATATACATGCCAGATATACTAAACAGGTATGATCTAGTGTTTGGTCCTGATGTGAGGGCAGGGGACTGGACTTGATGACCTCTCGAGGTCCCTTCCAGTTCTAGTATTCTATGATTTTATTTGTATTAAGTGAACTGAAAAATACTATTTTGTTTTTACAGTCCAAATATTTGTAATAAAAAATAAATATAAAGTGAGGACTACATACTTTGTATACTGTGTTCTAACTAAAATCTATATATTTGAAAATGAAGAACACATCCAAAAATATTTAAATAAATGGTATTTCACTATTGCTTGACAGTGCAAATAATTTTTTTAAATAATCTGATAGCCTTAAAATAGGTTTTATGAATTGTATTGTTTTTGTGGGGTTTTTTGGGCTTAACATCACACTCTGGTATGGAAGAAAAGAAATTTACATTTCATTACATATACAGAAAGGCTCAAACAGAAAGGTGGCGCATGCTCACTCTTATTTACTCTGTTACTAGGAAAAGTGGTGGCAATACATTTCTGTGCAAAAGTCAAGTTAAAATGCTGCCATGCCATTATTAGTGTAGTTATGGCGATATTCAATCTAAGTGGGAGCTTAAAAAGGATATGATACAAGGATATCAGTTTAAAGACAGTGGTAACTGTGGTAAACTACTAAAATGAAATAGATGACTGAAATGGCCTCAGAAAGTCATATACGTTTTCAGAACATTCAGGGTCCACATGGATATTATGGTGACCTTAAGTAATGAGTAAACTAAAAACTGTTTATTTCAATAGTAATTATTAATTGTGCAACGATTATTATAAGGTATTGACTATATGGCTTAGTCTGAATTTTTAGTACACTGTCATATATTATATGGAACATCAAGTTGAATCAATTCTTCTGTAACTTGTAGCACATTATCTCAGATTTGCCTGGAGCTTCTTGGTGTAAAACTACTTCCTTTTATGAAGACCTAGTGATTTACAAGTCCATCCCAGAGTCAAGTTTCTTTTTCCTTGTGTGTAACTGGGGAAAGACAGAGAGACTCTATAACTATAGTCTTGCTGATCTTCCAATTTAGTCATTACTTTATTAGTATAAGTTATACCACCACATAACAACCATCTGCTGCTCAACTGGAGTTTAGAAGCCATGCTGTTATATATATATATATAAAGGAATATTCTCAGAGCCCACTACATATACATAGGGCCCTACCAATGCAGGGCCATGAAAAAATGCATCACAGACCCTGAAATCTGCTCTTTTGTGTGCTTTTACCTTACACTACACACTGATTGCTGCCACCACTCTCCAGCTGCCCAGCTCTGAAAACATTGCTGCCATTAGCAGTATCAGCACAGGAGAGTAGTAATATTGCAATCTCCCCTAACCCTAACTTTACAACTCCTCCCCCCAACTCCTTTTTGGTCAGAATGCTTACAGTTACCACATCATGAAATTTCAGATTTAAAATGCTAAAATAATGAAATCTACTATTTTAAAATCTTATGATTGTGAACTTGACCAAATGGACCGTGCATTTGGCAGGGTCCTACTTATACAAGTTGGTATACCAACGGTGTCAGTAAAAACTCAGTCCAGATACTGCTTCATATTCAGCACAAGAGGAAGTTTTAATTGACCTTGGGAGACTGAGTACTCAAGAACTGGGTAGGTACCTCAAACAACTTAGTTTATAGATACTCTTTACTCAGAGAAGCACATGACTGTGTAAAAGGGAATGAATGGTGTGAATAAAGTTGACAATAAGTCACTTAATTACTCAATAAGGCATGTAAACGTCTTGATTTGATTCACTTTCCAATTTAATTATTTTTCCTCGGCTCCTGAGAGACTGCATTTGGGAAGGCTTGAAAGCATGGGAGCTGGGGAATGGTAAACAGGTTTAAGTCAGTCACTAAGCATAAAGAAGCCTGGAAGAGGGCACAGAGAAGAAAGTGGTATTAAGACATTAGTGGTAAAGCAGAGGAGGAGGGGGAGAAAAACTAAAAGGAGACAAGTCAGATTTAGGTTGAGGCTCTGCAAGGTAAGACCAAAAGTGATTCAAGTTGTGGTGGGCAACAATTAGACAACCAAACAAAATGAATAAAAAATATTTGACAAAAAATTACAACAGCTAAAGCAGGATCCAGTTAGCTTGTCTAAGCAATTTGGCTATGGGAACCAAAAGGCAGAGTGTGTGAGTGTAGGGGAAAACAGCAACAGGATAGCACAGCCTGGATGTTTATGTATTTGGCTGGAAAAGGGACTTGAAAATTCCAGGTAATAGCCCTTGCTGACACAGAGAATGGTGGGATTAACTGTAACAAAGCAGCTGGAAGGAAATATATGCTCAGCTGTGGCCCTGGGGAGTCTTAGACATCTCTGCTTGGATAGCTTTGTTGTCTAAGACTGCTAGATGACACATAGTTGTGAAGCACATTTGAGAATCTCTCAGGCTCACATAAGTAGAGTCTCTCAGGGTTCTATCCTTGGATCTCTCTTCCAGAGAAGGAGATGCCACCAAAGATGATACTGAAAAAGCAGCTGGAGAAGTGAGAACCAGGAAAGAAAAGTAATGAAAATCAAGGAAAGGCACAGAATCAGAGACACATGAGAAATCAAAGAGGACAAAATATAGGTCCCCCTATGACAGCCAGAAAGAGAAATAAATTTCCATTAATTGGAGAGGCTGAGGTAGATTAAAGTAGATTCAGCTGTCTGAGGCAAGGAATTTGTCACAGTGATTGTAGGCAGACTGTTTACACTGAAAGATGAAGCAGAAGGGGGAGGCAATACATTAGATTCAAAGCTTCCTTTTTTAATATGATGTGGTTTACCAAAGCTCATTTTGACCCATTCCACACTTTGTGCATAAAGGTGAATTTTATCATTCAAAATGAGAGGCTGGTTGTCAGAGGAGTAGGAGTTGAGGGAGAATAGGAGAGAGATAAAGATCAGTGACTAGCAAGAGGTTAGAAATAAATGAAGGTAACAAAATACAACTCTCTCCTCATAAATGAAGAAGCATGTCAGATGAGAAGATGGGACTGAGAAAGCAGCTGAAGATGGAAGATAGACAATGGATTCAAGGAAGTAGTAGTAGAGTCATTTAGTGAGCTAGACAATAAGGGCAAAGATAAAGGGAAAGTCTGCCTGATCTCCAAATTTTAATTCAGAAATTTCAATGTTATGGGAGCCAATATTGTCATGAGATTTCAAGGCTGGTGAGAGGTAGCCAAGGCAGCAATGCAGCAGGTGAGAGTCAGATGAGTCCAGAAGGGAGGACAGACTAGGGATATAAAGAACAACAAAAATGGGGAATTCCGAGATGGTGGACTGAAAGTCACATAAGAGTGAGTTATGGGATGTTAACATATTGGCTTGAGATCTGAAATTCAACAAGGGACTTAATACAGAAACTAGTGTTTAGTGAAGTATCAGAGGGGTAGCCGTGTTAGTCTGAATCTGCAAAAGCGACGAGGAGTCCTGTGGCACCTTATAGACTAACTGAAGTGTAGGAGCATAAGCTTTCGTGGGCAAAGACCCACTTCGTCAGATGCATGTAGTGGAAATTTCCAGAGGCAGGAATAAATATGCAGGCCAGGATCAGGCTGGAGATGACCAGGTGGATCCAATCAAGGAGGATGAGGCCCACTTCTAGCAGCTGATCTGGAGGTGTGAATTCCAAGAGAGCAGAAGCTGCTTTTGTAGTTAGCAAGCCATTCACAGTCTTTGTTTAATCCAGAGTTGATTGTGTCAAACTTAAAGATGAACTGTAGCTCAGCAGTTTCTCTTTGAAGTCTGGTCCTGAAGTTTTTTTTGCTGCAGGATGGCTACTTTTAGATCTGCAATTGTGTGTCCAGGAAGATTGAAGTGTTCCCCTACAGGTTTTTGTATGTTGCCATTCCTAATATCAGATTTGTGTCCATTGATTCTTTTACGTAGGGACTGTCCTGTTTGGCCGATGTATATAGCAGTGGGGCATTGTTGGCACATGATGGCATATATTACGTTGGTGGATGTGCAGGAGAATGTACCAGTGACAGTATGGCTGATCTGGTTAGGTCCTGTGATGGTGTTGCTGGTGTATATATGTGGGCAGAGTTGGCACCGAGGTTTGTTGCAAGGATCTGAGTTCGAGTTATTATCCGAGGTTTGTTGCAAGGATTGGTTCCTGAGTTCGAGTTATTATCGATTATTTTCTATATACTGCATACTACTTGGTATAAAGTTTCAGGGGGAGGTCTAGGTCGGATATTAAGAAAAACTATTTCCTTAGGAGGGTGGTGAAGCACTGAAATAGATTGCCTAGGGAAGTGGTGGAATCTCCATCCCTACAGGTTTGTAAGTCCAGCCTGGACAAAGTGCTGGGATGATTTAGTCCTGGTTTGGGCAAGAGGGCTGGACTTGATGACCTCCTGAGGTCTCTTCCAGCTCTATTCTATAATCCAGCAGTAGGGCTTTGTGACTAAACACTGGCTACTTTAAGATCATTCCTTTCCTTCTTGCTGTATATAATCTTACTAGAATTAAAGAAGAGGCTTTTAATTTCCAGTAGATGTCTAGATCTGTTGGTTTACCTGTCCTGTTGGTAATGGCTGATCTAACATTTCAACATCTGGATGCTGAGGAAGGTTGTATAATCTGCAGAGGTCACATATCAATCGCTTCAGTTGTTGAAGAAGCTATAAAAATTAAACATAGGTTTTATTTTAACACAGTTTAACATGTTTCCAAGATACTAAACTTTTAACCAATCACTAACATGTTCAGATACTCATTTCTCTATAATGATCACACTCCTATGAATTCCTAGATCAGGAAACCACCTGCAAGTTAACACGGAAACTATTAGCTTTCGGGGTTTACAGCTCAAGAATCAAATTTATGCCAGCAACATCCATAGAGCTATTCTATCCTAAGAGCAGTGAAATGGATTACATCTCAAAAGGTACAGTCTATTTCCTAGCTCCGTGTGTTGCAGAAGGGTGCTTTTTAATATAAGCATTGCCTACAGCCATGAGACCATGGTTACATCTTTTCTCAAACGAGTTTGAATTAAATCACTCCTGAAGCAGTGGAAGCTCACAGCACCAGCAAGGAGATTGGCCCTTGTGCAGGGGCAAGAGGAAAAATAATCTCCTTTCCTCACAACTATGTGCCTTAGTTTAACACTGAAGGAATCTCAGCCCAGATTATTAGCACTATTGGATTCCAGTAGTAGTTAATGTGCTATTGATTATTGTATCTTGCAATAAAGTTTAGCATATAAATGAAGAGTCTTCACATAGCCACAGTATCTCCAACATAGGATATAGAACTGCAGAGAGGGTGGAGAGAATTTGACCACAGCCCGACCATCTTTTGACTGAGCTAAATATGAGTGATGATGTGACTGAGTGATTGCTGTTGTACCCTGGCACGTGGATTGCTGCATCACTCAGATTTACACCAGATCACAACTTTCATTTCAGAGAGGGTGGGTATTCATGGGTCATGTCAGGCTAATCTTGGTGGGGATGAAGAGGGTCAGGGTGGGGGTGAGGGAGGAAAAGATTTATACCAGGAGTAGGCAAACTCAGGCCCGAAGATTAGGGCCACCAAGCATTTCTCTCCAGCCCACCCAGCTAATTAACAGAGGTGCATACTTATAGCCATCAGCTTGTGTTCAGCCTCCCCACTCCCAAGTTACTCCATCTTATAGCCCTGCTGCTTTCTAGATTCTCCTGCTAGCTTTGTGGGATAGGGAGAAGGGGGGAGAGAGAAGTGCTGAAGTCTAGGTGTTCCTCTGCCCCTGTACACCATCTCTACAGAGCAGGGGTCATAGATGGGAGACACAGTCAGCAGGGCTGCTCCAATCTGAAGCAACTGACTCAGAGGAAAGCAGAGCAGGGGAGGAGGGAAACAACAGAGCAGGGCAGATTTCCCTTAAAGAGACAGAGCATGGCTGCGTCTCAGAAACTTAGCCAGCACACATACATTGTGTCAGTGTCACAGACACCCAGTCTGTGTCATACTGTATCTATGCCATTCACACACAATCACCGTCACATATACACTACCACACACACTCTCCTGTCTCTGCCACACACATACAATCTGTGTCACGAAGTCTGTCTCTCACAAAGTTATCTCTCTTTCACACTCTCTGTAGCCCTAGCCCCCTCCCTTCTGCCCAAGGCTTCATCCCTTCTAGAGCAGGGGGGCCTGAAGCTGGACTGTGACCAAGTACCAAAATTTACAAAGTTGCCCCCCTGCAAAAATTATTGCCCACACCGA